ATGATAGCAATGCGCTTCCGTAGGAAACAATTCATGACTGTAACTGGTTTAAAAGGCTCAAAAATGGCCGCCCCCTCTTGAAAAATGCCCCTCTACTCCAAGAGCGACCCGGTTCGACCCGGTGTTTCCATCCTTTGACCTGAACCAGGTGACGTTTGTCATCTGTTCTAAAGGTTGGAGATGAGAGGAAGACGTCTTGGTTCTGGTTCTGTTCTGGTGACTTTGTATTTTGGCACCTTGGAGATTAATCTCCGTTTGAAGTTGCGCCGCCGACTCTGAGCGGTTCTGATTGGACCCGGACAGCAGCGCTGCAGACGTGCATAGTGGTTGTTCAGATGCGGCGGCCGCTTGTCGGGACCTGCAGCAGGAAGGTGGGCGTGAAACGGGGGCTTCATTCACACGAAGAGCAAATAACTGAGCGGAAAGTTTGGAGACGTGCGAAGACCTGCAGCTCCTGCGCCGAGCCTCTCAGCCCAAACCCCAGGCTGTTGACTGACGCCCAAATAAGGCCGGCGCTTCCTGGTTCTGATGTCACAGCGGCTCAAACCTCATCATGAAACCATGACGACAGTTTCATCAGCTGTTTTCTGGCCAACTCCTGATCAGAATATGATTTACCCAGAGTTCTGTCTGCAGGATCTTTGGCCCTGCGTTCTGTCTGCAGGTCAGAGCGTGTCAGTGGAACCTGAGAGTTCTGGCCGGTTTGAATGAAACTCTGTGATTTACTGATGCGTTTTGTCCCTGCAGGCTGTCCCCTGGTCTCCGGGGACGTCGGTATGTCCCAGCGGGGCCGGAGTGGCATAGTTAAAGCACAAAGCGGAGGATTTAGAGGAGGTGGAGGATTTGGTGTTGAGTTTCTCTGAGCTGTTTGTCTCTTTTCCTCCCACAGGATTCAAGCTGAAGCATTTCCTGCGAGACAGCGAGACGCTGTCCAGCTTCCTGCAGAGGAACGCCTCGCTGACCCGACACGCCGCCCTGCAGATCGCCGAGGCCGACGTCGACCTGGAGCAGGTGAGCCGCCGCAAGCGCTCAGGGTGAGCCCGACTTCGACCAGGAGTCATGTTCTGGTTCTGTCCCAGGTCGTCCTCAGAGGCTGGGGCGTCCACCTGAGGGACATGTGTCCCCGCAGCGGCGGGACGGCCGACATGAAGGACTTTGTCACCATCAGAGACCAGCAGGTGGCGGCGCAGGTACAGGAAATCCTCTGCCAGGCTCCGCCCACCTGGCTGGACCGAGCCGAGCAGAACTTCATGAGCAACCTGGACTTCTTCAAACCCATCCGGGTAAGAGCAGAACCGTTCTGGTTCTGGAGACCGGCCCGGTTCTCAGAGTCAGAACTGGAACCGCACATGCTCCAGAATCAGATCGGTCCTGTGGATAACTCTGGACCAGAACCGGGTCAGACCTCCGGCTGTGGAGAGATCCGGGTTCTAGTTCTGGAGGAGTCGGTCTCTTCTTCCTGGAGAGACCAAAACCTTGAGGTGGTTCTGATCACACACCGGGTCCATTTGATCTGAACCAATGGTTCTGGTTCTGTGCTGCAACCTGAACCCGTCTGGACCTGCAGAACTGGGTCTGTTCTGTGTTCAAGGCGGCTGGGTTCTGTCTGCCAGGCTCCGCCCCCGCTGCTCGGCGCCAGGCGACCCGGTTCAGGTGACTCGGCGTCTCTGGGCTGCGTGGGAGGAGGCGTGCCGCAGCCCGCTCGGCCCGCCTCCCTGCAGGCCCGGTTTCTGTAGCCTGGAGACCCGTTTAGACGCTCCGGCGGTTCTGAAGGAGCGGGGTGTCGGCCGGGCTTTGGACCGCTTTGTTTACACAGAGCTGTTGGCACGGGAAGCTGTTTCCATGGCAACAGAGACATTTCCTCAGGGAGGTGAGCCGAGGACCGGCAGCTGAACAGAACCGCGGCCCGTTTAGGACCAGAACTGGGTCAGCTAGAGGTTCCGAACGAGGACGGGTCCAGAAGAACTCACTTATTAATGAACAGTCAGAATCTGAACCTGGGTCTGATCGTGTGTGTGTGTGTGTGTGCGCAGAGGGACGTCCGGTCGGACCCGGAAGCTGTCCAGACGGTCGCCGTCGCCATCAACAACCTCCTGGTCAGTCTGGGTTCTCTGGCCGTTGAGGTGAGTTCTGATCCGATCCAGCAGAACCAGCGGGTCCAGAGGAACTGTCTCCTGCAGCTGGACTTGTCCCCTCCGTGTCCCTCAGACTAACAAAAACATTTTCATATTTCACATTAGGATGACAGACATTTTCCAAGATGGCCGCTGATTTTGAGTCTTTTAAACAATTATTCCCATAAAATTTTCCGTATTTTATGGCAACATAAATAAATCAGATTTTGAGCAGTGATGTCAGTGACGTCTGACCACTTTCTTCAGTAACAGTAATCTATTCCAATCCAGTAATCAGACTACAGTTACTTATCAAA